AGAGGTACTTTTCTCCCTTTCTCACAATACAAGAACTCGTGGGCACTCCATGAAACTGCAGAGCGGTCGGGTTAGAACGGATAAAAGGAAGTACTTCTTCACCCAAAGAGTGATTAACACATGGAATTCACTGCCACAGGAAGTGGTGGGTGCTACAAGCATGGACGGCTTCAAAAGGGAATTAGATAAGCATATGGAGCAGAGGTCCCTCAGTGGCTATTAGCCACAAGGTATAGCTAGGGGCTCTGGGGCAAGTGATGCTTTGTCTTCTTGGTGCTTGGGGGGTGGGGTCAACAGTGGGAGGGCTTCTAATGTCCTGGCCCCACTGCTGGACCTCCTGATGGCACTGGTATTTCTGGCCACTGTGTGACACAGAGTGTTGGACTGGATGGGCCTTTGGCCTGATCCAACATTGGCGTCTCTTATGTTCTTATGTTCTTATGAATCACAAGCTGGAATTAAGATTGCTGGGAAAAACATCAACAACCTCATATATGCAGATGATACCACTCTAATGGCAGAAAGTGAAAAGGACCTAAAGAGCCTCTTGTTGATGGTGAAAGAGGAGAGTGCAAAAGTTGGCTTGAAACTCAACATCAAAAAAACTAAGATCATGGCATCCGGTCCTGTCACTCCTTGGCAAATACAAGGGGAAGTCATGGAAGCAGTGACAGACTTCACGTTCCTGGGATCCAGAATCACTGCAGATGGTGACTGCAGCCATGAAATTAAAAGATGCCTGCTCCTTGGGAGGAAAGCGATGGCAAACCTAGACAGCATAATAAAAAGTAGAGACATCATCCTGCCAACGAAAGTCCGTATGGTCAAAGCAATGATATTCCTAGTAGTAATGTATGGCTGCGAGAGTTGGACTGTAAGGAGGGCCGAGTGCTGACTAATAGACTCTTTTGAATTATGGTGCTGGAGAAGACTCTTGAGAGTCCCTTGGAGTGCAAGGAGGTCAAAAAGAAATCAACCCTGACTGTTCCCTGGAAGGCCAGATGCTGAAGCTCAAATACTTTGGCCGTTAAATGAGAAGGGAGCACTCACTGGAGAAGCCCCTGATGCTGGGAAAGACTGAAGGTCAAAGAAGACGGGGACGTTAAAAGATGAGATGGTTGGACAGTGTTATCAATGCAACAACATGAAATTAAGCAAACTATGGAGGATGACAGGGGGGCCTGGCGTGGTGTGGTCCATGGGGTTGCGAGGAGTCTGAGTTGACTGTGCAACTGAACAACAACAACAAAATTAAAATTGCAGACCTTACAGTGCAATCCTGAGAAGAGAGTTACACCCTTCTAAGCCCACTGACTTCAATGGATTTAGAAAGGTCTGACTGCATTTAGGTTTGCATACTAAGAGTATAATGAATCAAAGTTATAGTTGCAGAATAAAATGTGTTCTGCAATGGACAGGGTGTTATCCATTGCAAGCAAAGCCTTCAGAACTTAAACCTTTAGTAGATCTGCTATTGTAGAGGTTATACAATTTCTTTCCTCCACGTGCTAAATGTGATGACCGACATGATGGATTGTATCCTAACCCAGCAGAGTAAAACTGACATTTCTAACACTAAGAACTGCGGGCATCTGAAGCTCTCTGCACTCAGCTGAAATTGATGTCAGTGTGTCTTTTTGTACCTGGATCTTCCATTGTGGCTGTGGTGTATTTACGTTGTGAGCAATATTCCATTTTTCCAAATCTGATGAAAGAAATTTTTTAAATGGACTTCATCATTGTACAACATTTTAAATAGTCACACATTTCAGTGACATTTGTCTTTCTTTGACAAAATGAATAATTTAATGTTATTTTTTTATTAATGTCTCAGCATGTGCATTTATTTACGTATGATAGTTTAATTAGTTCAGTCAGACAATTAGTTGATTGGACTGCTGATATTTAATTATGTAATTTTTCTTTTATGTATTTGTTTAGGCAAAAGCAACAACTATCAAGGAGGCGCTAGCTAAATGGGTAAGTAGAAACATGATTACATAGTGGCATGGATATTATGTCTGAAGAACATGGCTCCAGCCAGTTTTCTAAGTACTTTGCAATGGCATAGAGGTAGAGATAATAGTTTGTAAGAAATGCACACCTGAAAAAATGTACACAATACAGAGTTTTGATTCCATTGACTTATACTGTACTAGGAGTAATGGCCATTGTGGGAAGAAATACAACGGGATCTAGAAGGAAGCTCCAGATGAGTGTCCCGACGGTGCCTGGTGGGGTGGCAGAGGGAAGGGGGAAATGGAGGGAGGCAAGCCACGTTTCTTTCCTTCTGCTTAACTGTAAGGCAGGGCTGTCTCAAGTCATTTTGCTGCCCTAAGTGGGTAGAATGGGAGGACAGCCCCATGATAACAGGTATGGTTCTCTCCACCTCTGACTTGTTTTTTTGGGTGGGAGGGGGGTGTTATGTAGTGGCAGCTAAGGTAGAAAAGCACCTCCTCCTGTGCCATGTTTTCTGGGTTCCAAGGGTCTGAAAAGTGGTCCCATAGCAGATTATATGGTTGTCAACTCTGGGTTGGGAAATACCTGTAGATTTGAGGGGTAGGGCCTGGGGAGGGCAGGGTTTGGGGTGGGGAGGGACTTCAGCAGGGTATAATGCCATAGAGTCTACTGCCCAAAGTAGCCATTGTCTCCAGGAGAACTGATCTTGGTCATCTGAAGATCAGTTGTAATAGCTGGGAAATTTTCTGTAGGGGAAATGATTTGCTGTGGCTGGGGAACACGGTGATTTCTGGGTGATCTCCAGGCCCCACAGAGAGACTGACAATTTTACCTCAGGACATGTTCAGTGACTCCCAACAGCAAACTGTTTAGAATGTTAGAGGCAAAGGCCAATGAGGCCGCATATGCAAATGACCTCTGTGTTCCGACTGGCTGTGGGGGTTGAGGAACAGCAAACTGTTTAGAATGTTGGAGGTAGGACTCAGGCAACGCAGCCAGTGAATAGGGACAGCTTCTGAGTGACACATCATGGAGCGTATTGATTTGGGAGCGTGTGGAATGTTCAGCAATGTGCCACCACCAACAGAGAATTATTATATAGAGAGATAATCCATGTTGAGTCCAAGTAAGAGAGGCTAGGTATTAAAGTAGTAAGTACAGGCTTGCAAAAAAAAAATTGGGGGTATATTGAACCTGAAAAATATCGGTATTTTCTGATATTCCTGAATCCCAATACTGGCATGGTATTCAGATTTAGGCTTTTTTTTTGAAATCCTGATATTTTTTTTCAGCTCCAATATACCCTATGGGGACCATTATAGTCAGTTGTCCCCATATGGTGTAATGGGGACTTGATCCAGGGGTATCTGGGGCTCTGAAGGGGCTGTTTTTTGAGGTAGAGGCACCAGGTTTGCAGTATAGCTGCTGGACCCTCACATCAAACACTCCCTTCCCCCCATTTCAGAAAGATTGGACTGGGGGTCCAATTCTGTGGGCCCCCAAAGAAGGTGCCCCCATTCTCTGTTAGTTTCAATATGGGGGGAAGGTGTTTAAAGGGATTGTGGTCCCTTTAAATGCTTTCCCCAAGCCGCAAGTGAACTCTGAAGGCATTTAAACACCTTCTCCAAGTGGTGAGTTCACCCAGAAGGTGCTTAAACACCCTTTAACTTCGACTATCCAGTGGTCCTGAAAAATCTGAAATATTTTTGGGATTTGGGGGGCTTGGCCATTTCAGATGGCTGAAAAAATACCCAAATCTATATATGGCTGGAAGAATACCTGGAAAATCCTGATATTTTTCGTATATTTTTTTCAGCTTGGATATAGCTGAATGCAGACCCCTAATAGAAAGTAAATAAATAAAATGTTCTATTCTGCTAAAAGTGCTACAATCTCTTGATGTAAGAGGGTCCTCTGGCAGTGGAAGCTCCTCTTGTGGCAGCAAGATATACCTTACAAATGGGAACCCATAAAGATTTCTGGGGGTCATCTCATTGCCCCCTTCCACATTATTTCCGCTTTCCCTTTCCTGATGGCCCTAGCCTTTCCCCTGTTCCTGTGTACTTCTGTCCTTCCCACTCAACAGGTAAACTACCTCTATCTGCCTCCCTGTCTTTTCAGTTTTCAGGTTTGTAGAAAGATCTCTCTTGTCTGTTCACGGTTCCAGTCACTGGATTTAAGTATCTTCACATTTGGCTGATTTTGCTATTAGAGTATACATGTGGGGGGGCTGTGATATTCACAGAGGGGAATCTCATCCTTCCCTCCACTTGCTCACTGAGCCCCACATGTCTCCTTGCCTCTGAACCCCGTGCAGCTCCTGGAGTCTGTTGCCAGTGCAGCCAGGCCCTGCATGGCTCCTGGAGTCTGCTACTGTTGTTGGGCCCCATTGACCTCATGGAGTATTCAACTGAGCCCAGCTCAGCTCCCGGGGCCCACCATGGTTGAACCCATCTCCCAGTCATCACCACAGCCACCTCTGGGTCCCATGCAGCACCCCAAGTGTGCCAGTGCAGCCAGGCCCCATGCACCTTGCAGAGTTTGCAGCTGCTGCAGCTGGGCCCGGCATAGCTTCTGGGGTCTACCAATGGCAAGGCCCAGTACAATTTCCGGATTCTGCCTGTGGCTGGCAGTGAACCCGGAATCTCCTGACTTCTCTCTTTCTCCCTCCCCCACCCCATTAATCTCTCTTTCTTCTTCTCCCTCCCCCATCACTTACTTGGTCTCCACTTGTCCCTGTCTATTATGAAACATCTCTATCTGTTTGGGTATTAAGTCCCTCTGTTTCTCTTAGATTGTCCCTGGCTCAAAGAGCCTATTCTGCAGCCACCATGATAAGGAGGTTCTCTCATGGCCTGCCCTCTCACCAACCCCAGACCCATCTGTCCAGCCCATCACTGGGACCCCTGACATCCTTCTGTAACCAAGCAGTGGGAGAAGGTTGTCTAGCTGCAGAGGGCCACCCAGTTTCAACAGCACTCCAGCCTCTCACGACCCGGCAGCAGGAGAAGAGTGCCTGGCATCGGTGGCTACTGCAGAGTGCCGCCCAGCTTTGGTGACTCCTGCAGGGCACTGATAGATGCTGCCAGCACTGCAGCTAACCTCATAGGACCCACTGGAATGGTTGAGGACAGGGGTGGGGTGCCTTAACTGCAGAACAGCAAGGCTGCCATCGACTCTCTCACCCTAAATGCTGCCACCGCACTGCATTAGAAGCTGGTGAGGAGAGCGAACTGTGGTAGGGCTCATGGCAGGATTGGCATCGATTTGTCCTCCCCTGCCATGAACACTTCCACCAGTGCCTCCCCCAGAGGCTACTGAGGAGAGGCAGGGCTGGCAGCAGCAACAGTTCTGTAGAGGCTCCGACAGCTTCGTTTGTGGCAAAGATTTTTAAAAACCCATCCATTTTTGTTTTTTAGGTTTTTCTGCAAACCTTGGGGGTCCCCCAAGTTTGGAGAAAAATCTCTCTCTCTCTCTCAGTGTGGAACCGATCCATGGATTTAGGTATCGGCAGGTCTGCCCACAGTTGAGGGGGTGGGGAGAGGATGATACCAGTGGAACATGCTACCTGTAGCTGAGTAGAGTGATAGGCTATAGCCCAGAAATCTTACATGGTTAAGTCACTGAAGTTTTAGATTTGAGCTGCTGTATATCAGTATTGCTAGTGCTCAATATTACTACAGCTAGTGCTCAATAATATTTATATAGCGTCTGTAATTCTAAACACTGTTCTAAACAAAAGGTAGTGCATGGTCACTGCTCAAGTACTTAGACAGACAAGACAGAAAAGGAGTAGTGATCAAGATTTTATAAGGTTGTACCCACCTATCACTCTGCTCAGCTACAGTGGTTCATTCAATGGGCTCATCTCACCTTTAGATGAGTTTCTTGGATCAGTGGGGCATGCTTCGCATGGTGGAAAATGCCACTTTATGATTCATAGGGATGAGTAAGAGGAGAATCTGATGGCAACAGGTGCTGAGATGGGGCTAGGCGAGCATTAGGCTCTGATACAGAAGTGGGTATGGAAGGGAAAATATCTATACAGAAGGAGATTACATATCCACAGATGGCACAGCAGCATAGAAGACCTCAGAGATAGCAGTGGAATTAGGAGGTGAAGGAGGCTCTAGGGTAAGAACTTTGGTGGAATACTGGAGGAGAGCAGAAAAGAAGGATGAAAGCTAGAGGATCAGAGAGGTGAGGGTTTTAAAGTAGAGATTAGAAACTTGTGGTCGACATGGAGAGTGGCAAGAAGCCTGTGTAGAGAAGGATGTAGTCAGGGGAAATGTCTTGCTGCAACCTCCTGCCTAGATGGTTAAGAGCGCTTGAACACACATATGCAACTGAACCAAATAATTGGTCCATCAAAGTCAGTATTGCCTACTCAGACTGGCAAGCAGCTCTCCAGGCCTCAGGCAGGGGTCTTTCAAATCTCCTTTTCCCTGATCCTTTTTTAACTGGAGATGCTGGGCTTGAACCTGGGACTTTCTGCATGCAAAGTAGAGGCTCTTCTACTGAGTCACAGGCCCTCCCTCTTGTTTTTCACATCTTCTGCCAGCTGTCCTGCTTTTCTCATATAATGAACCTTTGTAATCTTATCTCAATACTTTTTTTCAAGAAAATAAAATAGGACATGCCAATCAGTCTCCATAAATTGAAAACACTCCAGTCCTGCAGGTGAAGTTTAGTGACTTCCCTAATTTATTTATTTTTATTTATCTATTTTTAGGGATTTCTATCCCGCCCTACCCAGAGGCTCAGGGCAGCTAACAACAATTTAAAAAATTTGTAACAATAAAACAGTATATCTACAAATAAAATTTCCTTCTTCATTTTGAAAAAACACATAAAAACAGTAAACTCTACCCCCCGCAGTTTGGCTGTGGGGCTGTGTACTAATTTTAACATTTCTTCAATATAAAGAGGTGTGACCAGGGGTCTTGTTGTAGAAAAAGAGCTGCCGGAGCTCATTAGCATAACTCATTAGCATAACTTATTTGCATATGCCACGCCCCCTGACATCACCGGAAGTGACAGAAGGCCACACCCCCTGACATCACCGGAAGTGTGTCAGAAGGCCCGGCTACTTACCCTCCTGCTTCATCCTCATTCCCAAACGGAATGAGGATCGAAGCAGAGGGCGGGGTAAAGAAGGGGGCGGGGCTTCACCACGTGACCGCCCCGCCCCCTAGAGGTTCTCTTCCGGAGCTCCGTACCTGAGAGCTCCCCCCCGACTAGAGCCCTGGGTGTGACCCTTATCATATTTCTGTCTACCTGTAAGTATTTTAGCTAGATTTTTTTAAAGGGCTACATATACTTGGACTATTTATTCCTATTTTCAGGACATCTGTTTTAACATTTGATTTTTTCTTAGTGTGTTAGAAGCTGGAAATGACTGTTAGGAACTGGAGTGCTCTTTTAACATCCTGTCCTGTTAAAACAGGTTTGATACTGATTTGACCTAGCTCGTGTAAAGTATTGATATAAGAACATAGTATTTAAATGGATGATAGAAGAAGGCAAAAGGCTAACACCCAATCTGTGTGGAGAGGTGAAATAAAAATACTGGTGGAATGTATGAGTTCTCCCTGTATTTCTATATGAGGAAAATACTTTTTATGAAATGCCACTGCAAATGCAGAGTTCAGTTGAGGCCAGTTCATACAACTTAGATGTTGTTTATTCTGGTGTGTCTGGTGGGCACTGAAGTTTATTCCTGGCAAACAGGTGAGGTTATCATGAGGTCCCTGAATGAATTGCCAGCACAAACTTTCCAGTAGTAGGTTAATTGACCATGTACCCAGTCATAGTTCTGATTTTCTGTGTTCTGACTAAATGTAACTAATTGGTCACATGAACTGCTTCCCAGGCTAAGAAGGACATTTTCCCCCTTGCTGAATATTCACTTTCTCATGCAAATTAGTGAATTTGCATGAGAAAATTAACATTCAGCAAGGGAATTGATGTGTACATTATTCTGCAACTGAGTAGCTGTGAGAGAAAGTACATACAAGATCTGATTCTTATTTTCTGTTCACCTAGATTAAATGCTTTAGTTGTACAGCAAAGAACTATTTTCTTTCCTCTCTTTCTCTTTTTCCTTAGGAAGAAAAAAATGGTCAGAAGCCATCAGAGGCCAAGGAAGTAAAACTTTATGCCCAGATTCCTCCTATAGAGAAGATGGATGCATCTCTTTCATCTCTTGTTAACTGCGAGTAGGTTCTGTATATTGAAAGAAAAAGGGGGAACATTCTTAGTGTAGAAATCAACTATTCGTGCTCACTGTTGTAGCTTAGAATTCTTTTCGTGTTTATTTCTAATACCTTCAGAGATAAACCTCTTTGTTCAGACATTTTTGTTCCAGCACCTAGCTTTGTCATCAACTTTTCTTCAGCCACTTAGTTTCAATTCAGGCCTTTTGTATTTATTTAGAATATTTATTAATTGCCTTTCCATCCAGTAAGTCCTCAAGGCAGCTGTATCATGCCACACTCGGTTTGTGAAAACCGTATTATAGAAGTCAAACCATGGTTTGACTTTTCAAAAATACAGACCACTTAAGAGAAGAAGAGAAGAGATTGGATTTATACCCTGTCCTTCACTAACCAAGGGAGTCTCAGAGTGGCTTACAAACTCCTTTCCCTTCCCCTCCCCACAACAGACACCCTGTGAGGTAGGTGGGGCTGAGAGAGCTCTGACAGAAACTGCTCTTTTTCAAGAACAGCTGTGCCAGAACTATGGCTTGCCCAAGGTCATCCAGCAGGTGCAAGTAGAGGAGTGGAGAATCAAACCCGGTTCTCCCAGATTAGAGTCCATGCACTTAACCACTACACCAAACTGGGTCTTATGGTTTAGAGTTTTCCTTTCCATCTGCTCAGCATTCCAAGCACTGTTTGGATGTTACAGTGGATGCATGCACATCTGTTTGTAAGAGAATGCGTTTTCACTTTACAAATGAAACCAGAGACCAGTACCTGAATAAATGTGAGGTTTAAAGCACATGTCCATTGAATGTAACATGAGTTGCTCAAGTGTACAGTGTACGTAGACTGTATGTATATTCAGTGTAACTTATGAAGAGGGCTTCCAGTCTCTACATATAGTGGCCCCTGAGTACAGAGCAATGGCCGTAACTATGCCTTGTAAATTCTGACATTGTGCCAAACCATTATTAGCACAGATTTTGATTTGCCAGCCAACTATAGTTCAAGCAAATTAAATTGTAATTTAGCTTCTTTAGCCATGGTTTGGCAGAATGTCTTATTTGAACAACAGTCCATGTTCTTTTATTTTGTATTGATTTCACTTATCTTAAAAGCAAGGGCTCACCCACATATCTGTTGTTATGGCTGCTCTCTGAACCCTTTATCATTGCCTAAAGAAATAGAAAATGAAGATATAACAAAGAAAAGAAAACATAAGAAAACTTAACCAGTATAAATTCAGTCAAAAGAAAACGAGTATTTGAAACTTTTCTCTGTTGGGCCCTTTCCCCATTTTCCTGAGGTCAAATGAGTTTTACTTACAGTGTAACAGGGGAAATTTCTCCTAATTATGCTGCAGTTCCAAGTTGCAATATCCAATCAGATACTGATGGAATTAGGGTTTGTTTGTTTTTTCTCTCTCTCTGGCAAGCCGGTATATACAACACAAATTAAACTACTGCCTTAGAGCCCATGGAAACCTTCTGCTGGCGTAAAGGATTTCAATGGAGTAGCTTTAGACCAATGAAGATGGCTAATGTACATTTTTTACAAATTAGGTACAAACCAACACAGGTGAATGAAGGAAGATTGATGTAGTGGAGTCTGCAGAATCCTGCATGAATGGTAAACTGGGCATTCCACAAGCCTTCAGTGTTGGTAGAATAGATAACTGTACATTCAGATCTCCAACAAACACATGATGAAATGCTTGTTTCCCCCCCATGCAGCTCATTATGGATTTACCAGGGGCTTGAGCTCACAGTGCAACAGTCAGGCAACCCCTTTGTAACACATTTGAAACCCAAAACAACTAAACAAGTAGGTTCCTCAATAGGTTGTGTGATGAAAGAAAGATTTAATATTCTAAGAAAATGTTATTTGTAGGCAGGGTGGGGGTTTTTTTGGAAAAAGAGGTGCTGGAACTCTCAAGAAGGGAATGAAGTTTTCAGTCTGTATACTGAAAACTCATGAACTTTAAAACATTTTAAAAATAATTTTGTTGAAGAGGTTCCGGAACTCTGTTCCGATGCATTCCTCCAGAAAAAACTCCTGTTCGTAGGGAAATAACTTACTGCTTCAGTATTTTACATGTTCTTGTTAACATATAATTCTCTGTCTTTCATGTAAAGAAAGCTGTCCTTATCTACAAACTGCATTGAAAAAATCGCCAACTTGAATGGCCTGAGTAAGTAATGAATGAAAGATCAGTGCATAGATTATAGCTGCTTTTTACTATGTACCTTCAGTGACTCAAACTTGCTGACATCACTAACTACAAACCTTTATGAGCAGTGAGTTATTTATGCATCAGTTATATTCACTGATTGCAGTAGAAAACATAGAAACAATCCAAAACCAAGTCTATTAAAAAAAAACACCCTGACATCCCCAAGTAATCGAATTTTAAGAAGGCTTTGGCCTATACTTTGCTGCTGGTTGAGTAGATATTGACATTGTGGGGGAAAGCCACCATCTGGTGTGGTCTGGATTGACTTTTGCTACTTTGCACAAATGCATTGGCATAGGAAGCTCTTCTCTGCGGGATGATCCTGTGTAATCGAAAAGTGAATAAATATGCTAACAAAATGGATTGGTATGATTGCACCTATCTTATCACTCCTTTTCGGAAAACTGTTCCTGTCTCTGTGTAATTATTATTTCTGTTTTTAAATGTAAATAATTAGTAGTTTCTTTTAAAAGCTGGAATGAACAAGCAGCTTAGAACTCAGTTATCAAGTATGTTTCTCTTTCTGAGAAAAAAATTCTAAACAACAAAGTATCTTAGCTTTGCTTACTGCTTCTGATTAAACAAACCCATGTTCCTATATTCCATTCTTTGGCAATTGAAACAGACTATGCCTACTGTCATACCATAGATGATGTGCCATAATCTTTAGTTTCATGTCATGATTATTAAACATGTTAAGAATTATCTTGGCAAAATTAGGGATTATCTGATCACCTCATTCATTGGATTGCAAACATTCAATTTGTAAGCAGATTTATCTGATAACTGATGTCTTTGTCATTCTATGTAAGGATCAGATATTCATGCTGAAGCTATAAATCTGTCAACTGCTGGTGATTCTGTTGTGTGAGAGAGGATAACAGGCAAACAAATGTGTTTTGGAAAGATTTGTTCTAGAGCAGTTCTGTTCTTTCCTTGTCTAGTCACTTTGGATCTCTGATTTGGACTAGTTCTTTCAAAGTGTCTTCTTTGGACAATCTTGGGCAGAGTTACTGTAGTCTAAGCCCTTTGAAATCAGTGGGCCTAGACTAGAACAGACTCTGATTATATTGTTAACCTTTTTCCTGCCTTCTTAGGAGGAGGAGGGGAAAAGCTGTGATTTGCTGGCCAGTCATGTAAAGCAATGTTTTCTTTCAGATTCATATTATGTCTGTATGCTACTTCTTACTTCTGTAACCAAAATGCATCATCAGGGTAGCATTCATTAGTATCAAATTACCAAGCAATTTCATCTGGCAACATTGAGAAAGAGATTCGGTATTAAATTATTTGCTTTCAAGGTATTCAGGTCTCCCTCACTTATTACAGTACTTTGGGCAGAAAGAGATGACTACTACTGGTATGGTTGCTTTGAAAAACACCCAATAAAGCAGTTCTAACCACATGGGAAGCTACTCATCTGAACTGCGGCCTGATTCTGTAACTGTAGAGATGCTCACTGCACAGCCAGAGCTTTATAAGTGAATGGCTAGCCACATAGCTGGAACAATGACATGGGACAATTTTATGCAGCCATTTAATTCTGTTCTGTCTTGGCTATGTCCTTTTCCTTTGCACAGATGGAGCAATATAAATCGTCCCTGGGTTTATTTGTCTTGGGCTTGTATTAAGTTTCCACATTGTTTAAATAACCAGTCATGTAAAGAGATACCAATTTTGTTTCTGTTGCAGAAAACTTGAGGATTTTGTCATTGGGAAGAAATAACATAAAGAATCTTAATGGGCTGGTATGTAATATATCATGTAGCTTAATTCTATAATCCCACTAAGATGGTAGCTACTTATACTATTACAAACTGGTAAATGCAGTAACATGGTAAACACTAGCATAACTGTTCCTCACTAATGGCATTGTCTCCACCAATCAATAAGCATTTTTGGAACAAGGGCTACTTCTACTTCCACATTGATGTGCAAAATAGGACCCCTACTCTGTGTGGTGGAGCAGGCGTGGATGGCATCAGCATGCACCATCCCTGTGCCATGCACTGCTGCCCCCTATTGCATTGGTAGAGAAGTGTCAACACACTAAAATGACACTGAGACCCCCCTCCTTTCTTCCTTCACAGCAGATCCACAGTGCTTAGAGCTGTGAACTGGAGAGAAGAGTCTTATGGGGGAGAGGGTACAGAGCTGAACTTCATCATTTCACTGCAGAGCCGAGTTCTGCCTCCTTCCCTGAATTGACTCCAGATGGAGCTTGCACATGGAACTTCCATGCACAGTCGCCCTACATTTCCCCTTTAAGTCAAAGCGAAGAAGTGCTTTGCTTTGCTCCAGTTTAAAGGGGAAAGCCCTGGGAGCTCAAGGAATGATGCTCAACAGTTACTGATCTTCTGTGACAGGGAGGACACAGCACTAATGTTGAAGTATCCAGTATGTCACCTTCCCTTGTCTCCACCTCTCTGGTCAATGGATTTCGGACCACGTTGTCTTCTTTGAGGGGGGATGGAAGGCATAGCTCATTAGCATAGCATATACTAGTCTCTCTCACAACAATGCAGAGTTGTTTGAATTGGCTGAGAAACTACACTCATGTAATATGTAGATCTCTTTTCCTGTTCATCTGTCTTAAATCAGTCATGTTAAAGAGTCCTGCATTAGGATTTTGATTTTTGTAGAAATTAGTTATTGTTCTTCTCGTTTAAGCTTTTCTCAACATGCAATCTGGTGGGCAGCATGAACTCCAGAGGAACACTTTTTTGTTGTTTTGTTAATGTACACTTAAGAAGTCAGAAAGACAATGTGCATAATATAAATGTTTAGAGCATGTTTTTCTGAGATGTATTACTGTCTTTCAGGAAGCAGTTGGAGATACATTAGAGGAGTTATGGATATCATACAACCTAATTGAGAAATTAAAAGGACTCCATGTGATGAAGAAGCTGAAGATACTCTACATGTCCAATAATATGGTGAAGGACTGGGGTAAGCCAGAGTCGTCCTGAACATTTTGGTGATCTATGGTAACACCTTTGTGAATTCATATTTCAGTGATTGGGTACCAGCTAACTTCCCACCATTCCCCTACTGCATTCATGTGCTTTAGTACTGCTAGAGACCCCTGTTAATCTTAGTAATACGTGTACCATCCCTCCCGTCCCTTCATTCAGATTGCATGGCTTGTTAGATGCTGACAGCTACAAGGGGACCATGCAACCCATAGAGCCTACGTCTCTTTGGGAACACTATGCAGAGTCAGTAGAGAGGGGAAACAGTTTCAGTAGCTGCAGCTTGGGGCAGGGGATCCACTTCTCTTGTTTACCCGTGTAGGATGCATTGTCCTTGAACCCCTAATTGGAGGGGTGGAGGGTCCGATTGCATGTTTGTGTCCTGACTGCATGGGTTCCAGTCAGAGCATTGTTGGAAACATGCTACAGTAGTGTTTGTTCTCATGCTTAACTGTTTGTGTTTGGTGTAGTGGTTAAGTGCACGGACTCTAATCTGGGAGAACCGGGTTTGATTCCCCACTCCTCCACTTGCACCTGGCTGGATGGCCTTGGGCAAGTCGTAGCTCTGATAAGAGCTGTCCTTGAAAAAACAGTTTCTGTCAAGAGCTCTCTCAGCCCCACCTACCTCACAGGGTGTCTGTTGTGGGGAGGGGAAGGGAAAGGAGTTTGTAAGCTGCTCTGAGACTCCCTTGGGTAGTGAAGGGTGGGGTATAAATCCAATCTCTTCTCTTCTCTTCTTGTGCTAAGTGCCCTTTCTGTAATTGTCCACACAAGCTCTTTGGGGAGTGTTCTGATTGTGAGGAACATGAAGCCAGAGAGATATGACCACATACCCTGTTGTCTGTGCTGTGGTTGTCGTAGCTGGCTGTGATTGGCTGCGGAATTAGTTGACTTCCTAAAGTGTGCTGTGACTTTGTGGTGTTGCTGGAGGGTGAGGGGAAGTTGCATATCCACTCCATATAGGTCCTCTGAGACTTCAAAAAGACGTGCTAGGGTTGTTACTGCTGTAGTGTTGCAGAAGTACTAGAGGTGTGACTGCAACTTAGGAGGAGTGGCCATGGCCACGCCTCCCCAGGTGCCTTCTATTTGTATGCAATGCTGGCATGGGTCTGCAGTGGCTAATCTGTAGATTCACAGGACATCTTTAGCGTATGCCAGTGTATCTTGAAGTTATTCCGACACAGGCATTAGGCACTGTTCAGTGAAAGGTTCAGTGAAAGGCCCTGAATCTTAGCAAGAAGCCTTCAGTGCAGAACACTGGTTTAAATACCTGTTTAAAGCAAGGTTCCTCAAATCTTTAGAAAATATTAATGATGTGGAATATGGAAGTGTACCAGAGTAGTTTCCAGTGTGTACTTTCCCACTTATGATAGTAAAACACTGTACAGTGAAAATATTTAATTCAGCATCTGCAGGCTGCCCATGCTGGTATTGAAGAAGAGACTTGGTGCAGCCTTTCTTTTTGTTTTATAAAATACTCGTCCAATTCTGACTGGATCTTTTTGTGGTTGCAGCAGAGTTTGTGAGGCTGGCAGAATTGCCATTACTGGAGGATCTGGTGTTTGTAGGCAATCCTCTGGAAGAGAAATACTCTGCTGACTCTCAGAATGCTTGGGTTGAGGAAGCAACCAAACGAGTTCCCCGACTGAAGAAACTTGATGGTGAGAGCGGGCTGGCATTCAGCAGATGAGACAGGCAGTGTGTTTATAACACCTTTTTCTCATACATCATTACTTTGGATTTTGATGACAGTTTCTTCTCTGTCCAGAGATTCACTACATTGTAGTTAGTATATTGTGGCATTGCCCCCATTTTGCACATGTGGACCTTTTAGATGGGATCCAACCCTTTAATGCAAATCCTGGGGTCAGGAGACATTTTATGCTCTAATTCTAGGAGGATTGCTGTCTCTAGTTAAAGTGTGGGGGAAACATTGAAAAACGCAAGTTGTTGGAGTAATATATAGGCATCAGGAAAGGCAGAATCTAGTTAGACTTGCTGGAATCTTAATTGGGTCTTCCAGTAGCTCTCTGATTAAACTGCCTTCTAATTTTTTCCCGTACTCTTGCACCTCAGTTCTAACCTGTGCTGCCAAACTACCATATGATATTCAGTCTGTGCATTAGAGTCTGCTTTCCTAATTTAAGTCAGGACTTAGCTAGAGGTTGGTTAATTGTACTATTCACACTACTTTTCCTCTGGTTTACTAATTTTTTTTTACTCCTCTCTACTCTGTGCTTTTTTAGGTATTCCAGTTATTAAACAGGAAGAAGGTGAAGAAGGAGAAAACTAGCATCACTGTACCTTCTTATCTGTTAAGTTATTGATGTATCTCCAGCACTATACAGTATGTGAAGCTTTTGTATAAACTTGTCTTTGAAGAAGATCCTGGGTGACATTTTTATCTGGTTCATCCCCATGTTCTCCTTTCTCACCCAAAGAGTTGTTTACCAAACCTTGGGGCAACAGTTACATGAATAGACTGACCTTCACTTTTTTATGAAGAGTTAGCTTTTTGCAAGAACAGATTTATTTTACTTTTTAAAACTTATGTTCAGTCTTCCTAATTATGAATACATTTTCTAAAGCATTTGTTCAGTAGACTTTTTTAATTATTTGAAAAGTTGGGGGGATACAGCATTTTGTATTAAACCCTCTCTCTGTGTGTGCATGCACATGTGCGTTAAATCTGATGTATCTTTTCTAAAGAAAGGACCTGAAACCCATCATGCTCTAAATGTTTCACAGAGTCACATCCTCATCCTTCCACCTGTTAAATTAATTATAGCCATATAGGCCTTGGTGTCAATTTTGCCTGTTACAAAAGAAGGAAACTTGTGGCACAGATCAAAAACAAAACATGTTGCTAGTAGAAGGCTGAGAACTCGCCCTGTTGAACTACATTGGAACCTTGAACTTTTACGTTCTGTATGTCATTCACTATTTTTTTATATACAGTATTATATGAAAGCAATGTATTTGTTTTAGATGAATCATTTATTTCCTAAGTATCGGTTTGATTTGATGCACTGGTTTGTGTTTTCCTTATATACTTTGTTTTAAGAAACAAGAGACTTCAGAGCTGAACAACAGTTTATGCAGTTGCCATGAATGTTCCTGAATGGCCAAGTCCTTTATCACTCTGGCATCTGATTGTAATCTAAGCAGGGGCAGCAGCTGTCTAAGCTTGCAGTTTAGTTGGAAATCAGTTTTGGTTTCAGGGTTCAGGGTTTGGATAAATCACAGCTGAAGGAACTGCAGTTCAGAAAGAGGGGAAAGATTGTGAGGACTGACAAGACCTGATGTGCTCTCTGCTCACATTCAGTATATTTTTTCAATTAAACATATGCACCATATTCCAATAGATCTCTCATTTGCACCACTGATGTTTGGAAACCCATTCTCAAAGAGAGTAACGAAGTAATGCTGTTTTCCATAGGCAACATTTAACCTGTTATAGTTGGCAATGGTGTTACTTTCTCCTGCTCCAGTACTTCCTATAACAGGATTTGGACTTTAACAAATCAGTTTCTTAGTGTATAATCTAGAAACGTAAAAGCAAAGCGATTTAATGTGCATAGGCATGCACATACTCTGATCCCTTCCCCGTGAATATTTGTACCTCACCCTTTGAGTAGCAGCACACTTTAAAATATAGCATTTGTATAGAAACTGACTATGTATATGGTACTCTTCCCCATCTATTTATTAGACTTTTGTCAATGTTTTTTTCTTCTCTGATTATTTTGATGTGATTTCTGCAGTTCATCATATTTTTGGGTCTTTGGGGAAAAAAGTGATCCGTTAGATTCATCTAGACTAGAATTTGACTGTAGTGTTGTCCTTGAATTATTCTTTTTCTATGGTTATCCTAATTAATTCCCTTTATTTTTTAAATTCAAATTTAACTTCTGGATTAATTTATTGTCCTCATACTAGTTGTGTGTGTGTGTGTGTCACTGGGCTGATTTTTCCTCCTCCTAGAAAAATAAGCATTTTAATTCCCATGTATATTTATATTTCATGCTAATTACTTCTGTAAAATAATGTTTGGTGTACAGAGGTTATTCTTTAAAAAGTTTATTTCAAATCAGACTTGATGCTTGGCGTTCTTTTCCCAAGGGTGACTTTTGTTCTACCCTTCCTTTATTTCTTCCTCAGCATAGACAGTAGTCCACTTGCTGACAAACCAGTTAGTCTCCTTTGTACAAAGTTGTTATCTCCTGGCCCAGGGCTGGTGCTTGCTCCTTTAAAGGCAGTGAAACACTTCTTGGGAATGGTGCTCTGTGCCCCAAGATGCATTAGCTAGTTGAACTCCAGTTCCATTTCTCAGGAGGCAGGAGAAGAGGTGGACAAGCAGCACAAGAGCGAGAGACTCTGTCTCTTCACAGTGTCTGACTGTTAAAATGATGGGTACTATCTTCAGATTAAGAAGTGGCAATCCTGTTGATAAATCACAGCTGAAAAGCATTGCCTGTAAACTCATACATAGCCTCCCATGAGATTACCTACAACAAATAAGAGTTGCCTCCAGGTGATCAGGCAGGAAAATTGAAAGATTCCCCCCGTCCTCCTTTCAGACCACCAGTGTGCCCCAAAAGACTATATAGGTATGTGTTAGTCGGGAGGTTAGTAAAAACAAACAAAAGTACCTGTATAGTTTTGTGGGCTTGCTTGCAAGGCTGGGATACTGTTTGCTGCTTGCACTGTGGCAGGAAGTGGATAGTTGTAGTAGCCAAATTTTTAGCCTCTTAAAACATACCTTTCAATAAACATTCCTTTCAGCTATATGTTTTTGTATTTCTACAAGGTTTTTGCGGAGTGTCATAGTTATTGCTTATATGTACTGTACATCAGTGTACATAGGAAGTGAGTTTCAAATCTTGTTTAATGGATACTTTTTAAGAGAATGTTTTCCTGTTTGTAAGTCATATGCTCCTAAGAAAGTAGTAGTGGACTGTGGGCTGTACTGCCCTCCGGAAGACAGGTTTATTTAGAGGCCAGTGTTTCCTATGACTTCCTGTAATTGTTGTGAGAATCAAAATAAGCAACAAAGAATAGAACTGTAAAGAAACTCTTGTGGAGGATGTGGAATCTTTTGAATAAGAGCTGTACGGGTGAAATGGATCTGTTGCTGTTAGCAAAATGTGTTTAAGTCTTGGTGATGGCTCTTTTAAAGTAATCCATTCTCCTGTTCCAGCAAACAGCTGGTGTTTCTTGAGGGAGCTTAGCTGTGAGTTACAGAATTACTTCTCTGTCTAGCACGTTATTGTTGCTCATATACAGTTTTTGAGAGAAAAGAGGCCTATAATGTCCAGCTACTTGTGGCTGGCCTATTGCTTTAATATGTTGCTTGCTGTTTTAATATAAAGAAGTCATGGAGGAAAACTTTAGAAGGTGGAAGAAAGAATAAACATCTGAAATATTTCACCTTTGAGAAAAACATGCCATGTCTTTTCCTTGCAATATGGTTGCAATTGATACAGTAGTAAGAAGAAGAAGAAGAGATTGGATTTATACCCCGCCCTTCACTTGGAGTCTCAGAGCGGCTTACAAACTCCTTTCCCTTCCCCTCCCCACACCCTGTGAGGTGGGTGGGGCTGAGAGAACTCTGACACAAACTGCTCTTTCAGGAACAGCTGTGCCAGAGCTTGTGACTGACCCAAGGTCACATCAGCAGGTGCAAGTGGAGGAGTGGGGAATCAAACCCGGTTCTCCCAGATTAGAGTCCGCGCTCCTAACCACTACACCAAAAAAATAATTTTTTCTGGAATTCCCATTAGCCAGTTTTATCATTCAGGTTAAATGAAAAGTTTATGGATCATATGAAGAGATTTGTGGATCTTGAATTTATTTTTGGTAAATGTGATTATATAACCAAGAATGTTTGGGTGTCCAGACCAGACTTCTTGTACCATTTTATTTCACTTCAGTTTTGTCCCTCAACAGTAATTTAATGTTTTTTCCATATGTAACATTCTTCCACTTATGGGCCCATTCATCTCCCCATAAATATCATGCAGTGTGAATGGAGAGGAAATCCTGAGGCAGCATAGTGCCAGGTTTAGCTTCTGCTAAAAGAAATAGTCGAAAATTAGTAAAATGATTGGCGAGTAGGCAAATGAAGAATCAGTATGCAATAAAAGGAAATCAAGTTGTGACAAGTGAAGGAAGAGAAGCAGCTTGAGTTTTCCCCAAAAAAACTATGAAAGGTTTTTAAAGAGATACAGGCTTTTTGTAGGAGGGGAAAACCAGAAGGAAATAGTGTACAAAAGAGTGATGGGATATAATCTAGATTATAACACTTCCTAGTGAAAATCAATGTCCATAGTAGATTGCATGAGAACATAGTTATGAATGCACCATTATTGAAGGCTCTTGGTAAATAATGCAGGTGACTAGCTTTATTCGTGATGACAAAATAACTTGTGTTAAGTTACACTGAAAATATGATCAATGGTGAATATTCTTCTTCAGCCATCTTTAGAAGCCATTAAGCCATTTGTTTGCCTGTATCTTTTTTTGAAGTTTGTCAAGTTTGTTCAGTATTTTGTATAAGAAAAACAGGATTGCACGTAAATGGGTGGAGAAAACACTTCCATCCTAGAGGTGATTATTTTTCAGATACTGCAGGCCTGTGTTTCCTTCCTTCATTTGGGCTGTTTGCACATGCTAGAGGAAAAATATGAATCCCTTGTTCTTGAGCATGTCAGGTGTGCCCTTTTGTGTAATATTTGAATGGAAGATACATGCATGAAAATGTGCAGGGAACACATGCCCTGGAGCCTCATTTTCTATACGTTTGAATACATGTAAGTCCTGTTTTATATAAACAGTGTGGGCATCATGCTGTGGGAATGCAGGGTGGGATCTGTAGGGACTTCAGCAGCCCTTCATACAATGGTTTGCAAAGTTATGGAGGTCATAGCAGCATTAAGCTACATCTCTGCTCAGGATGGTGATCTGTCAGGCAGAATAAGAAAAGTAGCTAGGCATGAACTGAACATCCGAATGACAGGCATCACTGTTGAATGAGTAAGAATCTTTACTGGTTATATATCAGTGAAAACATTCTTCTGCTGGAATTGGCCCCAAAAGAACCCCCACGACTTGCCTTGTTGAATGGGTATGTTTACTATTGTGGAACAAATCAGAACTTCAGTCTCCCAAAAGGGGGTGTTTTTTTAAAAGAAAATTTTGCACTTTAAAATTATGCACTGGATGTTGATGAAAAGAAAGAAAATGAGGGTAACAGCTGGGGGAGCAAGTAACTGAAAGGTCTTTTTCTTCATTGCTCTGTCTAAGCTTGAACTACTCTGTCTTGCCACATCCCTTGTGATTTCATGACATATTTTTGATCATGGATGAAAAGCATCCATGTAAAACAAAATCAGGCCGTGTTGGATCCCACTGGTGATAAGAGTGGGTCCTATTATTTTGTGAAGTGACAGCAAA